TAGTTGTACGGTGCGAATTAAGGGGAAAACAGTGTATAATATGATCGATATCAAGAATTTATATACCATGAAGATTTTGAACAATATTGTATTCTGACCCACAATCATTGTACAACTCTCAGATAATACTTTTAAGCTTATACTTGAAATATTATAATAATTTAATAATAACAAACTGTTTTATTGTATTATGTGCTTTTCTATAAAAGAAGTAAACGAAACGATGCATTTAAATTGATATCAGTTTTGGTAGAACTTTAGCGAGTGATGGTAAGACACTTGAAGCATCTGTCACACTTTGTGTCCGATATATGGTGTTGGCAAATAAGAGAGTTTTGAAATTCGGTTGAAATTAGGATAGAATAGTAATTATATAATTTATTATCGATAAGTTAGTAATATTAAGAGATCAATTGAATTATATAAAAGCCATTTAAGTTATACGAGTATAAACATTATCCTATTTGTCGGTTTATTTAAAATAATCTTTACATAAAAAAGTAATATACATAATAATTAATAATAGTTCATAAGTCAAGGTATATATAATAAAAGTATATTATAGTTTATTGATTTTAATAAAACCATATAAACATTTTTATTTAAAATTTTATTTATACAGCTTAATTACGTATTCCATAATTACGTAAACTTACGCATTTCTAAAAATGATCTCATATATATCATATAAATGAAGTGATCTTTTTTTCACTTTATCTATTCCAATCATTTCGCACAAATTACATTTTTACCACACTTTCTTTATTTAATACAATTTCTTCCTATATTAATTAATAATATATTATATAAATTAACATCTTAAGTGACATGACTGTAATTCAATATATCTACAAACGAGGCTCCGAATACGAATAACACACTGATCCCATAATTAAGGGTACAGCTGTCAGACTTCAATTGTTGAATGTTGCTAAACCAATATTTTATGCAACATTTCACTTTCAATAATTTAAATAATTGAGGTGTATTGACGTTTTCTTTAAAATCATATAATTTCAATTGTTTAAATTTATAAAACTCCATCGACTGGTTTTCGAAAAGTGTAAATAGCTTATAACATCATCGTTTCCGTGTTAAAGTTGTGGCATCTTCAAGTCATTGAAGTGAATAGTAGTTGTATTCCAATATGGTAATCGCCTATTTAAACAAATAATTATTTTTAAATAAATAAATTAATTAATTATATATAGTTTTCAATGCAAAAATCAAAACTCAAATCTGAATTAATAAATAATAGGTCAGCGATTTGAGCATCATGAGAGACCAAGATGAAATGTGATTAATGAGGTATTTTGGGATATTAACAGTAATTTTGTAGGAATGAGGAAGATAAAGAGTATAAAATAAGTAATGAAATTTTAATTAATTTTTTCTGTCAATGAAATTAACAAATAATTTCAATAGCTCTAAATAATAATTAGAATTTATTGGTGATAAACCGTAATTTCAATAAGTAAATGGTTATTATTAATTAAACTATTCATATAATTATGTTTTAATATTATTTAATTAATTATTCTATTTAAATTATTTTAATCGAATCTTCAATCACAGCAGAATAATGACAGAATATCAGTATTTTATAGAGTATATTATTATATTTAACAACTTCAGTTTACATCGACTTTGATTTGAAGACAGTATAGATATTTGATATATTTTGGTAAAAGGTATTATATTACTGCCTGAATATATGTTGTAAAATATATACAACCAAAAAACGACTGTCAAAACATTTTGAATTTTTGAATCCACGTCATAGACAATTATAGCGTTTATGGTTAGTGTGTATATATGACAATTATGGTGAATAATAGAAATTCATTCCTGAAATACTTACGCTGTTCATTTTCCTGTTACGAATCCTGCTATAGATCCTGGATCCTCTTATAGGTCCTCCTTTTGAAAACTTTTAGTTACGAACTATAACATGTGATGAATCTCAAAATAAATAGCTCAAATAAGCATTGCTGAAACAATATATTGAAGGAATGATGTCCCGGCAATATTTCAAATAAAATGTTAGAACAAATAAGAAAAATATCAACGCTCGAATAAAAAGAAAGACATTTAAATAGCCGGAACACTACTTAAGGAACACTATCCTATGATAATATGTGTTAAGCAAATCCTCAAATGGAATTCCCAAATCAACAAACGACAAGATATACCAAAATTATCTCGTCTATATATAGTAGATTAGATTAGATTATGCTGGCAGGCCATAAAGGCCACGCGTAGACCACTAGGGTCCATTGCTATACCAGATCAGAGTCTTGTTTTAGCGATTGTAAGCATCACTTAAGATGCGCGTTTCATTAGCAAAATTTATTAAGATTCCAACAGAAACCTCAGGTATGTACTCCAGTCCTGCAAAACTGAAAGCTCCCAAGTATTTTTGTCGAGTTCTCGAGAGAGCCGGGCAATTACACATCAGATGCTCTAGAGTTTCCTTTGCATCCGGCTCATTGCATTTTCTGCAAGCATCGTTGTGAATTAGGTTTAGTTTTCTGGCATGTGATGCAACCAAACAGTGACCTGTCAACACACCAATTAATGTTCTACAGTTCCTTCGGTTTAACGATATAACATTCTTGGTGTATTTTTCTTCATATATGTGCCTACACATAATTCTAGCTGTTCTACAGGTGGTTAAGTTCCGCCACCTTTCCTTTGCTCTCCTTATCATGTGCTCGTCCAGAAGTTTATGTATTTGTTTCAGAGGTCTAAGTACTTCGCTCGTTTGTACCTCTGAAAGTTTTTCACCATTTTTAGCAATAGCATCAACTGTCTCATTTCCCTCTATGCCTTTATGACCAGGAATCCAGTACATACAAAGTCTGCGGTTGCAGGCTAGTCTTGTTATAGCTTCCTTGCATTCTAGAACATTTTTGGATGATGACCAGTAAGATTTGATCGCCTTAATGGCTGCTTGGCTATCCACATAGAAATTTATGCAGTAGTTTCTGGTTTCATCCCTACACACAAGCTCCGCCGCTTTCTTAACAGCAAACACTTCTGCTTGGAATACACTGCAGTAGTTGGGAAGTTTAAACGGCATTCTTATGCTCAATTCAGCACAATATATGCCAGCTCCTACTCCCACTTCCATCTTTGAACCGTCTGTGAAAACATTTATGGTGTTGCATTTTGGCACCATGCCTTTTTTCCATCCTTCGTTTTCGATCACAGTTTTTATTGTTGCTCCGGGGTACATGATCGGAATCATATAATCCGAATCAAGAGTGGCGTTCTGATTTACAACGTTATGACCGAAAGATCTTCGAGTAAGTTGCCCAGTAATGCGTAGCCGTTCGGCCGTTTTTGCCGCCATATTCTCGGCAAAGATATCAATTGGGGGTAAGTTTAGTATAGCTTCTAGAGCTGCCGTCGGAGTTGTTCTTATTGCACCGGTGATGCACATCGCCGCGTGTCTTTGGACCTTTTCCAGGGTCCTTACTATATATTTTCCTATATATAGTAAGTCTGAGAAAATATTCAATGAGCTACGATATTTAATAACAAATAGGGAAAAATAGAGATAATTAATTATTACAATACTTGGTCTATATATACAGCATAAATCTGACAACATAGTTTACAAACTATAACATATGGTTAGAAATAGAAAATAATGAAGATTTTACGTATCTTTCTAATGAAATGTGGTTACATATTTTAAGATATGCTGATTATCTCAAACATGAGGTACACGTATTTTTGAAACAATACTTTTAAATATTGTTTATTAAACTTCATATCAAGCAATAAGTTGTGATTGTTTTTATATATATTTTATTTGGAAATTAAATGTATTCAAGTTTAAAAAGGTTAATTGATAACTGTTGTGTAAATCTAGATAAACTCACATGTGTCATAATGTAAACATGTTTGCACAACTGGTCGTTAATGCTGTAGTATTCTTATATTTTTATGGGTAATGAACTCATATAGGTAATAATATAAGTTGAAAATAATCAAAGTTATACTGAAATACACATTTTTGTCATATTTATATTATTTAAATTAGTGGTATTAAATAAACAATAAATGTAATGAAGGTGAATTACCTCACAAAAAAACTGACTTCGTTTATATGTGTATGGTATAGTCCCATTGAAGATATCGTTCAAAACTGCACGTTGAATAAGGTTTTCCACAAAAAAAAGAATATTTAAAATATGTATCTTTTAATTAAAATAGTATTTGCTAATCAAATAAATTAAATTATTAGATCTAAAAGTTAATGATTAAATTAGCATGTCAAACTTAAAAATTAAATCCACTAAAAATGTTTTAATAATTATCACAAAAAGTGAGATATATCTTACAGTAGTTTTATTTATGGTTTGGATATTTTTGATATAAGTTGTCAAGTGTTCTTAATTAATATACAACTATAAAATTTTTTTGATTAATCAACAATTTTGATTAATATCTTATGAAATTATCACCTGATTGTATCTATAAAATATTAATATCATAGAAATAAGTAGGAATAAATATAATTATTAACTATACTACAGTTTGGTCAGTTAGATGTAAATAATCATAAATAATTATGTTAGGTTTTTCAGAATATTACAAAATACTTAAACTTGTATAATTTAGAAGGTTTTTACTATGCTTCGTTAGACCAGTTAACTTAATTGTAATTTAAGTAATTCAAGCAATCGCAAGTATCTTTTGCTGATAAGAAAAATTTCCCTATTGAGCAGTTCATAAACTCTAACTGTTCAAAATGATCGTGTTTAATTAACTGAAAGCAGTGCCGAAATTTTGAGGCTACGAATGGCCACATCAAGTATTGGTATGAGCAGCTGTGACCACCGATGAACGGTCTCCAACCGTTTGCATCGAGGCTGGTGTCAAGGTCAAT